TCATTCCGGTCGTTCTGGTCACTGGCTTTATATATATATACATATACACACATGGAACTGATCTGGGGCTAATATCAGGTAAAATGCATTCAGGGGTTCTAATAAAGAATTACATGCATGCAATGCACCAAATGGAAGCCTCAATAACAGCTTTCAGGGGCACGGGGTTATTTTTAGGATCCAGGAAGAAATGCTTTTGCCCCCAACTCCCAAAGTCTCCTTCCAAGTAGAGGATGCTTTCTTCCAGAACCCCTCCTGGCCCCTCCCCCTTCCTCACTTGCTGTGTGAGTTCTTGGGGAGCAGATCCTGGCAGGTGTAGCACAGCTGTAGCTCCCTCTGCCGGAGACGGGGGCGCCTGCTGGGACGCGGGCTCCTCCTTGCTCCCCTCGGTTACGACCAGCTCTTACATGGGGACTTCTAGTGCCATGAACACAAGGGGAAGGGTGCCAGTCCCACAGTGCCTGCTACTGGGTAGACGCGCCTCCCGCTTCTGTGAACGAAGCTGACTAGTTCTATTGCCTGAACGTTCTTCAGTGTTCGTTTGTCATTTGAAGATGTTGTGTTGGCTTTCCACCACGTTGCCTTGTTTGCTTTCACCCTATTTGCTTGTTTGCTTATTTCTCAGTTGTCTCAGCTCTTGAATGGGGAAGAGAGGCTCACTTACTGGCCTCCAAGAATGCCATCCATCGAGAATAAAAGACTCTCGAGATAATGGAAGTGGAAGTGGGCTGACGTCATAAAAAGAAAACGTAATTTAGCATAAGTAATGCTACGGTGCACTGATTTGATGTTGGTCTCATGTTTTGCTGGATTGTCTAGATCTAGGAATATATGTTAGGATATCTGGAACAATGGGATGGTCTGCTCAACTTTGAGTTCATTGTTTGCTAAAAATACTAAGAAGAGCTTGTTTGAAAATCGGGGAACCCTTATTATAGCTTTACCTCTGCGTCTTGATTAGTAACATTGGGCAAATCAAATAGCACCTTGGGAACTCACACCTCCTCTTCTCAACAGCTCTGCTTCCCTGCT